TTTCTTTTAATTTTCAATTTTGAGAAACAAATAAAATTTCGTTGCGTTTCGTTTCGTATGTATATTTGTATTGTCGGAAATTTTGCAACTGGTGGTGAGGTAATCTCCTCCTCTATCTTTCTCAGGGAATTTTTTTTATGGTCCGACAATAATTTTTTGTATATTTTTATCGTGAGTTCGACCAGTCCTGTGCGGCACTGGGCTTTTTCGAATTATATGATTTTACTGAGTAACACACGAACGCGTATAAATATTCGATAACAATTTTATTAATCGACGGAAGTAAATGAAAAGGAATTGAACTAAATGAACTCTAGAATAATGTAAAAAAAAATAATGTCAATGAACAAACTGGAATACTGGAAATAGAACTTCTTCTTGTTGGGTCTTCGACTTGGGATATGTTTCTTGCCGTTTAATCGTACAACCTCGACGTGTGTATCCGATGGTGATGTCGATACAACTCCGAGAAATAAATAAAATGAATGCAGAAAAATTACAAAAATAGGAGCCTTTGGAAATTCTAAGCTGCGTGCGAAACTATACCAATGAGTATAGAATCCAGCAAACAACCCTAGGTCCACAAATAGCACAAGAAAAACAAAAGAAAGAGGCGGATTCGTTTTTACAGAATCCAAGGCCTGTTTTCACTGGGCCTGTCAGTCAGTCGGTTGGCTTTCGCACAACCCTGGCCTGTTTTCACTGGGCCTGTCAGTCAGTTGGTCGACAAACACTGGGGGAAGAATATCGCGGCAACGAAAAAATCGGTGGAGCAGGGAAGACTGCAGGTCAAGAGTGGCAGCGGCAGAAGAATTATAAACAACTGGAGCCAGCTGAACCACGCTAAGCAACCCCAGCCCACCAAATCGGCAGTGAGCCTGGGACCAACCACTGTCGGTCACTTGAACATTGCAAATCGACGACAGGGCGGTGAGCAGGGTTCTGTCAAATTCGCCCAATTTAGAAAGATCAATGTGTTTGGATGTACGCAGGAAGTACACCAATTTGGGCAAACTGAGGGCATTGCGGATAATAGTCAAGGCATCATGGGCCAAAAGACAGGAAACACGACCCAGGGCGAATTTGAGCTCAGAGAGCTTTTGGTCAAAAAACTTTATTTGATAATCGCCCTCGACCAAGGGTGTGCCTAAAAAACTCAGTTCTGATGCACCAACTCTGGGTATTCTAGCCAGCGCATGTGGCACCTGAAATAAACTTTGGCAGTGAAGTTCGCATTTCTTAATGTTTAACTCTAAACCATTTGCAGCGGAGTTATGCTTCAGATATTCGTAGCTATCGGCCAGAGTTGGGCCGTCCGAAACAATGCTGATATCATCCAGATAAGCGCAAACGAAAGTGGACGAAGCTTTCTTTAAGAGTGGATGAAGAGTTAGTGCGAACAGCAAAGGACCAAGGGGATCACCCTGCTGTACCCCCTCGGACAATTTTACAACCCAAGAGTGGTAGCCAAGAGGAGAGACTCCGCCATAGGCAGAATGGCAAAAATTATAGATATTGGGGCAAAAAAGTTTGACAGCCTCCAACATCGAGTCTCTTCTCAAGGCGTTGAAGGCATTTTTAAAGTCCAGTTTCAGAAACCCCCATTGATCGGGGAGGTCGGTGACCAATCTTCGAACCGCATGAACAGCGGCCTCAGCGCCATCCTTAATTCCGACACCCAACTGAGTCGGGTAGAGTTTGGTCTTGAGTTCGACCACGCCCAGGGCCAAGGCGCATTTACGTACTTATGTATATATATATATATATGCATGTAATTGTGAAAAAAATCTGCAATATTGATTTGAAAAATATTTGTTTTAATAGTCGTCTTTAAATTGAAACTTTCTTCAAAGCAACCAAACAAGCGTAATACAATGTTTTTTTTTGAAATTCAAAATTCGATAAAAATCCAGTTTGTTAAAGAATTTACAAAGTATTTATTTAAATACTTATTTCGAAAAAAATAAATTTTATTAAATTCTTTATTTAAACGATTTTTACAATCAAAAACGTCTGCCAACACTAACAAAATTATTATTTAAGAAATCCACTTACAAGAAGTAAAAACATTGCAACCCATTAAGAAGTCATCATTGGCCAATCTAGACAATGTTGACTGCGTAGACAATAATTTTTAAAATTGGCACGGGGCCAAAACTTTCGAAATTTTTGCTGGTGTGGGCAAAATTAAGCTGGCGGGATCATTTTTTTGCTTATCGCGCAAACTTTTTGTAAATTTTTGGCCGCTGGGCCGATGCCTCCTTCCTTATTCCATCAATGGAAGTCATCAAATATTAATTATGACATCCACCCAACCAGCGACACACCACCTCATCACATCTCTTTCATGCAATCTTCAAAAGGGAACGACTTTTTGATGAAGCCATGTGGGAAGATTCCTAATTAGAAGAAGCGAGCCATCATTATGCATGAGTCAGTGCAAGTTTGAATGCGTGGAGGCGAATAAAACTTAATGAATGCTGCTATTATCTCAGCTTTGTATAAATATAGTTATACATTTTTTCTTATTAAGTCGATTTTCATTTTGTCTTTATTTTAGTGACTATTATTGAGTTTCAAAAATATTTAATTTTACAAAAATTAATACTCAGCAAACCGCTTGTTATTTGGTGATTATTAAATTGAAAAGATAAAAGAAGCCGAGAACTTCTTTGAAGGAGATCAATGATTGGAGCATGTGCGTTGTGATGGAACTATAGAATCATCAATGGACAACAAACATGTGGCACCAACATTCTTTCCACATTCACGTATTGTTTATTTTATCATGTTTGTACGAAAATTTTTGTTAATTCTGTGATGGCGAACAGCAGATATGTATGCATGTTTGTAGGTTCACTTCATTTTACGTCGATATAAATTGTAAATGTTGCTGGTTATTGTGTATTTGTTGTTTTAAATCATTTTTGATTGTATTGATTGATAAAAAAATTCCTAAAATTGTCAATATTTGCGCCATCTTGAAATTCCCCATTCAATTGATTGGATTCCCAGGGCACAGATGCATTATTCAAACATAAACCTGATGTGAATATTTTGGTGTCATTTATTGAATGGATCCTGCTGATGCTTGCAAACATTTCATGCTGAGGCTTTTTTATGTTATTCCTTGAAAAATCAGAAACTGACAAACGCAGAAACTGTTACAACATGCAAGGCAATAGTATAAAATGATAGAAATAAAAACTTATGTCCATAAAATAAAAAAGAAAAAGTTGAACGTTCTCGCCCCTCGATTGAAAAGAACATCACGTACAGCGGCATCATTCTCGACAACAGCCCAATCAATAACGCTCTGCATAGAGCTGGAAACACCATTTTTACGACAGACAAATGAAAAATATTGAAAGTAAACTGAAAATTAATAAATGCTCAACAGTCGTTTGATGTTGATACTATTTGTTAATAAATTAATTATAGAATGTCTAAATCGATGCCTTTTACTTCAAAGTTTGAGAGCTGAAGTCAAAACAAGGAGGCTTATGGTTCATTTATTGACGAGTGGTTGAAGGAGGGGGAAGTTTGAAGAAGAATGCGGAATTTGATGCCAAAAGTAAATTATGCCGACAATCACTGCAACGAAATAAGATTGGCGTATGTAGTTCAATTTAAGTTGCTTGTACGTACATCATTAAAAAAACATATCCTACAATTAAGCTTAAGAAGAAAATTTTGAGAGATACTTTTAAAAATTTTATTACAAGTGAACATCTCGATGACCAATTCAACTTGAATTATCTTGTTAAATGGAATAACGGAATAATGACAATCATTCTGCCTTGCAACAAACTGTATTTAAACGCGTTTGGTTGAAAAATACAAAAGCGTCGATGGTGGATGGGAGAATTATTTCATCAAACTTGAAGATAAAAACTTAGGAAATGATTTATTGAAAATCATTTATTTTGTATTTTCCATGCCAGTTTCTAATGGTTCTTGTGAACAACTTAGCTCCATGAAGTCTTTGTGAACCACGGAAAGAAATGGGCAGCAAAATCAATGCAAACAACAAAAACAACACCACCATCTACAACATTATGAAAAATAGCACTACAGCTAAAAACATCATCATCACAAACATCATCATCGTAAACACCATCATCACGAACATCATTATCATAAACAACGTCACCAACATCGTCAAAATCAACAACGTCATCAACAACATCAACATCAACCATAACAACAACAACAACAACAACAACCATAACAACATCAACAACCATAACAACAACAACCACAACATCAACAACAGCAACAACAACAATAACATCAACAACATCATCAACAGTGATACGACATAAACATGATGTAAGCCTGTCGTAAATGTCCACGATTTTGCAATAAAGCTATCCAAACTTCGTCATTTTGTAGTTTTGTACACATTTTAAATACACACACACACACACACACACACACACACACAAACACACACACACACAGATCATTTAGATACAACTTACACACATAGGCATATATATATAGATACAACTTACACACATAGGCATATATTTATAGATACTACTTACACACATACACACACACACACACACACACACACACACACACACACATATATATATATATATATATAATTAAAACCGAAGCGCTTTGTGTACTAACAAGAAATATAAATGTATATACATTAACCGTATACATTAACCGTATCTGCCTCCGACGAACGAACATGCGTTGATGTGTTGTGTCCGTTTTAACGCTTGAGACAGTTGAATTGGAATCATCTCGCTTGTTGCTGGAGTTAGACTCAAAATAATAATTAGAAATGTGGTATTTGTCGAGATTTCAGTTTATTTGTTTCGACTTTTCATTGATTGATTGGTCTTTTGAATTAGTTTTAACAACTTGGGAGCGAAACACTAACTCACATCAGCCTATTCATTAAATTCATTAAATTCATATTATATTTATTTATTAAAATATTGTTTATTACATTTTTAATTAGTAAATAATAATTAAGTTAATGTTCGGTAGCGAAAATAAATTTTGTTAAACATTTGTCAAATCGAAACACAATTCGCGGAATATTATAATTTCTATAATTATTATCGATTCGATACGAATCATCATCTTATCGATACGATACGAACCATCATCTAATTGATACGATACGAACCATCATCTTATCGATACGATACGAACCATCATCTAATTGATACGATACGAACCATCATCTTATCGATACGATACGAACCATCATCGGTGGAAATCCATCAAAACATAACTTCCTTGTTTACATTTTAAATAAGGTTATGAAATGGTTTTAGCAAATTTCACCATTTACAAACGTAAAACATTATTCTTTATTCCAATTATATTAACAAACCGATGAATAATCTTCTTTTGAAAATTTAAATTTATCAAAATTTTAAATAAATTTTCATAATAAATTTCAACAAACTTCATTTAGTCATATAAACCAAATATAACAACAATTTTTTACCATCTCAAAAACGCATCAACTGTTTAAAACAACAACAAACACAAAACAACATCACCAAAAACGAATATAAAACAACAAAGAACAACAAAGAACAACAAACGTCATCATCATCCAGTCAAAGTATCAGTTGTTGCAGCAACAAACACGACTTCACTACGAGCAATTAACAACAATTCAACAACTTACTTCATTATCAGTAACAACAACTCAACAATCGCAATCAAGATTCGAAGTGACATGAAGAACATCATCAGATAATCATACAATATAATACATCATACAATATCTGAACTCCAACATTCATAACCAAAAACCAACTGTCCCATACATTGGAATCAATCGTGAACAAAGGTATGAACTGGAGAACGTGGATTTCCTAATTGATGAAACCGATAGCAGGCACGTCGGTACTGACAACTTTGAAACATCTCTAACAACATTCGCAGGCAATCTCGCAACGACATCAAACACAACATAAAACACTACTGCATATTAGTATTAAACATTTATCAACACACTAAAAAACAACAGTCTGAGCTACAAATAATAAAACAACACAACTTCAACAAACACAACACTGCAAAAAAAATGAAAAAACCTCGAAAGCATCACACCCAGCAGAATGTTTATACTTATTGACAAATAACAACACTTTGACTTAAAAGCTTTAAACAACTGGGAAATCATGACAATACTTTTATTGAAACAACAAAAACAAAACTAAAACATCCCATAAAATCCTCATTTCCCATTTGCAACAAAATTTTAATTCTAAAAATATTATTTGCAACAACATAATGAATAGTTTGTTAGACGCACAATGACTTGCTCTACCTCGTGAAAGAACATGCAAACAAAACCACAGTGTAATAAATTATTTACTAAACACAACAACAACAATAATAATAATAACAAAAATAATATCGCCTAACTAATCAACATACGCTACAATATCAACAACAAAAAGTAACAACAACAACAACAACATCGTCATCAACAACAACCAATCAGCTTTAATATAACAGAGATAAGATCAGGCAAATGATCTTGTGTGTAGAATACACTTACTAATACTAAATCTTACCGCAAATACAAGATAAAACTAAAATATTTAATCACAAGCGAATCAAATATCACAACACAAACAAATCAAACAGACATGATAAATGACAACGCAATCAAACTCAAACGCATTCAAAAATATAACAACAACTATTCCCACAAAAACAACAAACCATCCCCACACATACAACAAACTATTCACGCACAAACAACAAACCATCGACAACACAAACGTACAACAGATAATCTAAAACCTAAATAGAAAGCTAAAATGAAAACTGGAACAATCTCCAAAGTTTAAATGCCGTCGTAAATATTTTTTGGAGGCTTAATAATCTTGATAATTCAATTTTATTGCCCGCCGTATCGTCCAATATCTTTTCCCGCCAACTGAACAAACGCTTTCTGCTTCTTCTTTTAAAACAGAAATTCCACCATGAATTGAACTGGGCTAACAAACACTAACAATTTCAATAACACTAACAACGGCAATGACTTTAACAAAAGCAGTAATAGAAACATTGAAATAGCAAAGTGATGTTAAAAAAATTTTACTGGAAACAAAAAAAAAACAACTCAGAAGAGCGCTGTAAATCACGAAACCTATAAAAACCGCAGCTACAAAACAAAGCGATGATTTGAATAACAAAAACCCAACAACATCTCACACGAGCAAGCAACTTAAAAATTATGATCGAGTGAAATAAGAAACCAAGCAAGACCAACAACTTTTCATGTCCCAACTTAAACACAAACAACAACTTTTTGTGAAAATAAAATGGATTGAAAAATTCAGACCGCGTTGAAAACATCAGTCAAGAGAGCTGCTGGTCCAACGACCTCATCCACCTGTCTTGCA